TCAGCGTTGTTGTCTCTGTTCCAGGGAGGTCAATAAAACCCCCTCCTGGTAACTCCATCCTTGAGCCACTACTGTACCTGTCGAGATGGCCTATAAAGGAAAACCAAACGACTCTGGCTCAAATCTCCTATTACTTCAGACATATATACTTTTACTAAGAAACTATCAGCTAGAATAGTCTGCAAAACGAAGGAGTTTTACTCCCTTTCCTTGTATATTTTATCACTTGTATTCAACTAAAATCACTTACCCAAATCGCCAGAAGTTGAAAACAAAGCGTCAAAACTGTGTCGTGGGTTRTAGTGTCCAGACCACATTTCGTTGTAAAATAAATAGTTAATACAATCTCTCTAAAAAGTTTCTAAACTCTACTTGAAAACACTTTCGGGGGAAAATGCGCTTCAATTATGACGTACTATGACATCACTCTGTGCCGCGCTCATTTTCAGGACGTTTGCGCGCGCTTTTACATTCGCGGTCATCCAATGAATGTTTCTGCAACCAATGAACGAGCGACAGCGTTAACCTATAGGCCTAATCCATAGGCCACCCAACTATTGCTCGAGAGAAAAGAAAGAACGGGTTCGCACGCTTTTATCATATCGATTCATCACGTGACCAGTGTTTCAAACCTTGTCACAGATCGTGACGTAATAACACAGGTAATCCGCATTTCACTAAGAGCTCGCGTCGATAAATAATTTTCGTTAATTTATYTCCAAAAAAGTTGGGCAGCCTATGGTGACTTTCAGAAGTTCAGTTTCAACCAAATACACAGCACAATTAGTATCCTAGACTGAAAAGAGATGATTTTTTCAAAAACAGGACTTATTTTCCTTTCGGGGGAAGTTATTCCTCAATCTCACTCGTACCATGGTGTTACTTATAAGAATAGGAAATGCTTTAACACTAAAAATTCATACTTTGGCAGATGTTTGTGAATTTTGTGTTTTGTGGTGAGACATTTCTATTTGTTTTTGTCGTTTTGTTTTCATTCACAAACAGGTTAAATGGCTAGCCACACTTAAACTTCTGGACCCGTCTATAAACCACATCAGAACAATTTGTCTATATTAAAACAATATTTTGCTATCTTTGTAGTAAATAAAACAGCTAGATTCTAAAAGTACGATTAATGTATGCTGACAAACTAGAAGAAGGCTTTTCAGATCTACGCACGATCCAAACTGAAAAGTTACGCAAAATCTTCGCAAATTTCAAGTGTCGACCTTTTCGGATAATGCATGATGTATTGCCAAGAGTGTATAATGAACAACTTTCCTAGTACAAAAGAATCAAAACACTGTAACTGAAAGATGTACTAGGGATAAACAGTCGACACTGTGGAAAAACTGAAACAATTCTATACAAATATAAGATTTCGTTTCATTTTCGATGAACTTTAAACCTATTTTTATTTCATTTTTTTTAATTAGTATTATTTTTTTGCTAGACTGAAATATTTTTCACGTATACAGCAAACCGCGTGATCGCATTGACAGCCAAAAAACTGGAATGTTGACAGCGGTATTTATCAGTTATAAATCACTTGTCATCACCCAAGGGGGGAGGGGAATGTAAACATCACATTTTTCGCCCTATGTGCTATTGTATGCATCTATTGACCAATGATATTGGTCGTAATTTATCGGTCCAATCAATACCTGTTCTTTCTTTTTGTCTTCGCCTCCTTGAGATCGCATTGCATGTAATTATCTCGTGATTGAGGAGAGGGTTTCGAGCCTGGAAGGCTGAAGAATATACTATTTAAGACAGAAAGAGCAGTTGACGCTGTATTGAGAACATATCTTACTTGTCAGCAAAACAACTTGATTTTTCAGGTAACTCTTAAAGATAAAATATGGATTTATAATTGCAAATTGCTATTAAATTAGATACAGAACACTCGAAGCAATCGAAGGAACATGGACATACACTTAAGGACACACGCATACACTCAGTCGACTCAATATAAATCAGGCAAACCGCCTTTTGATTCAAATATATTAATTTAAAGTTACATTATATCACTGCGAGAGATTTTCATAAAGTCTTCAAAGCTGTGAAAGTTTGTATAACTCGTGGCCTAAGGAATGATCRCTTTTGCTGCCTTGCTGCGATTTTCACTATTTTTGTCAATGGGGGGTGCGTTGCTCCTGTGACAAACTTGAAATATGCCTATACAAATAAATCTCTGCATTGAACTCCTAAAATCCTACTCATTTTATTTGGGAATGAAGAAAGATGAGTTCAAACCACTATCGAACTGAAATTGCCTACAATTAAAWTTACTAGAATGTTTATTTTTATACTTAAATTGATTTTRAATAGCATTTGAAGCATAACGTGTAACAATAGGCTGGATTGAGTTAGGATTACTTAGAAATTTATTTTATACTTTTCAAACTATATTTTTTATGTTGAATTATATTTTGGCTTTGTTTTTAATTAAATGGTGTATTATATATAAATTCTATGCAGTAATTAAGTGGTCAACATTCCAGACAATTATCGCAGATTAAAGTAGATTATTTTGTACGTAAATGTACACTTATTTGGATGTGTTTTTACAACAACGTGTAACATAAAGACCTCACTGAATGCCAGCCAAACGTTTATCAGTTATATGACATATTCTACTGAACTCGGAAACAGAGGGCAAACTATTTATAAGTTTTGCTTTGTGACGAAAGAAAGAAAGATAGAAAATTAAAAAAAAGTTATTTATGGAAATATGGAAGCTTTATTTTAACCGTACTAACTTTATGAAGTTAAAATATAACCAAACAGTCAAATTATGCGACTCCAAAGAGTCTGATGATTCGTTTAGTTGGTTTTTGCGTGTACTGGCAAGCTGTGTCAAGACAAAACAATTCTTGGTATAAATTAACTTTGAACCTTGACAAAGGTCGAATCTCAATACCAATCATATGATAATCAGCAGAAAAAAAACGAACTTAGCCCTTGTGAGATTTGTGTCGTGACAAAAACTGGCTGCTTGGCAACAATATGTAAGCTTACAACATACTGAAATCATACTCTGAACGGACCAACTGACATTTTCTATGCAGCGGATCCGAGACATGACAGCACAGTCGGTGAACGTTGTAAGACATGATTTCGTACTTGGAGTTCTGGATAAAACATTCATTAGTTGAAAAGACCAGTAAGAAAAATAAGATAAAAAAGGCGGGAAAATGTGACATTTTGGCGCGCGCGCTTTACCGTAAAAGCAGCAACAACCGACTGTCTTCACATTGGATTGGCTTTACAATCAGTCTCAGTCCGGCCTATGTTCACTCAAAGCTCTCATTATCGCATTTTTGTGGTGTGTGTGCAATAAATAACTTATCAGAAATCCTTTCATTAATGAATGTTTAAAACYCAACGACATGGGCGTCGTGACGTCGACGTCATAGTCGACGTTTGTCTTCCTTGTTCATTGATACAACACTTTCTAGTGTGGTTTCAAACCAAGAATTTTGAAGCTCGGTATTGTTCATTTATGATGGCAACGCAAATTTTTCTCAAAGTGCCGACTATTTTAGTCAGTGTTCCAAGCCCAAGGCCATTTTGAAAAATATTAAACCGAGTCTTTCATTGAAAGTGAGGTTGCGGTTGTTTAACTTGTTCCTAGGCCACTGTTTTGCTTTGATGGAGCAAAGACATGGGCATAATTCAAGATGGCGACGCTCGAACTGTACAATGGAGTACAGTACTCTAAATGGATGTCTTCATATATTTTCATAACTTTTTCCTTTTTTTGTGTGCATTTGAATTATGTTCGTTATATTACATTTCTCTGTTTTTATTTAGATTTCTATTTTTTAAATTGCCCACATCGACGGCGTTGTTGAATGTTTGAACCGGAAGTTGATCCCTACCCGCCCAGTCCGTGCGCAGACTTATTATATCTACTTCCGTTTCTGAAACGTTCAGGATTGTTCCGAGCTGAAGGAACGAACTGTCTTATACGTGTTTTCATTTGGTTGCGTAAAGCGATTGTTTAACTAACTACTACAACCAAAAACGGAATATCTTTTCAAATATTTTGTGAATATAATTTCTCGCAGAATCTCAGCCAAGACTGTTAGATAAAGAAACCTCAAGGCCACGTTGCAGGTAATTTTGACGATATTTTTATATCAATTCGTGGTGTGTTTACTAGATAGAATACTACGGTTTAATTATGCGATTTTCATAGATATATAATAGAGGCTTTTCTGAAGAGAAATGTCATTGCTGAATTATGTGGTATATATTTTTAAAAAATATATTTGTATCTGTATGGGGGTTTTTACTTGGGATGTCTCATACAGATAGCAATCGTCGCAAAAAAAAATAATTAAAAAATAAAATAAAATAGATAAAAAATGAATGAAAATTCGAAGTGAGCATCATGCCAATTGATTGTTACAAAATAGTTTATTCCACAAATGACAGTTGTTGACAAATTTTATCAACTTTCGTCAAAATGCGCAGCAACCTAGCTCTCTCCGTTAAAAACAACACGGCAACAACCGAAAGCGAAATCCACTATTTATATTAAAATTTACTGTTTACGTCTAGATATCGCCAACATATTTACCTGGCTTTTGAGTTGCCTAGAAGCAATTGATTTATCAGTAGTTAAGACATATTTGCAAACCTACTGAAGTTCTAATATTAAACGAGCTTCGCAGAGGTGAACAGATTTGAGTTCTCGCCAATCTAAGGGCACTAAGGTGACTATCATTCATTTGCAAGTATTTTTAAAATAGCCATTTTTTTCTATCAAAATATTTTCCGGCTTTCAAAATGTTTTCAGTACCGGTTCAGTTACAGGTAGAGTCGATACTGCACAAAAGACTCCGTGCTTTATTTGGTTGTATATCGTTTCACTTTCAAATAGCTGATAATAAGAAGCTTTTAAAAACGGGTTTTTGTTATTGCTAGCTATAAAACGGCTTTAATTTTGATTTATTTGATTTTATATATTTTAGCATTATTTCGCTTTTTCTTAGTTTATATATGGCGTCAATCTTTTTTCAAATAAGAAATCAAAGCTCGTATCAAGGGGTGTAGTTGTTTTTATTATTCATTTTGTGGTGATGTTTTGGTTTTTAAGTTGGTTACTAAGACACGAAAATAAACCGCGGGAGAAAACAACTGAACAAACACGAGAACGCGAACGTTGAACGAACGAGTAATGATGGCAATGATAAGATCGATAATAATGATGATGATGATGATATATAATGACGCAACTCGCATATATAGTCCGTATTGTCCGAATATTTGTGTGTGGCCTTTTGGAGCATGGCATTTTGGACGGATTGTAAATCCAATCATTGAAAAGAAACTGGCACTGAGATATGCACTGGCACTGAGATATGCACGTTTGTTGTGATAGTGATGGTAAATATAGAAGAAGAGATTCACTGATGGAAACGTTTCTCAAAGAGCGCACATCAGTCGCATATAACTAAAAGTAGTAACATTATTTTAAATATTTATGAAATATTTACAGCGAATATAGTGACGTCCCAGTCCAACGATGCCCAACAAGTTTCAAAAGGAGTGTTTAGACGCCCACAATGAATATCGCTCCCAACATGGTGCGCCTGGGATGAAGTGGTCAGCAAAGCTTGCATCTGATTGCGAGAAATGGGCCAGAGAACTGGCTCGAAAGAATACCTTACAACATTCGTCTGGGGATTATGGGGAAAACTTGGCCTTTGCTTCAGGTGAGACTAGGATTAAGCAGTTGGAAAACAATGAAGGGTTTAGTTTTCTGTGATGTGCCTTGGCAAATCATAGGTTGCCCAGAATCATGACGTAATAGGGTCGTTCTGGTGTAATATGTTTGTTTCATACAATGTAAAACGTTTTTCTCTTTCTCTTTTTTATCATTCAATGATGATCGAGATTCCTTTGCATTTATTTATTTTCTGAGAATAATGTAAGCTGTTCTTATTTTTATTTTTTTATTTATTTTTTTTACCAGGATATGAGCTGACAGGAAAACGCTCGTCAGAAATGTGGTATGAAGAAATTAGCAAGTATCGATTTAACAACCCCGGGTTTTCATCCGGTACCGGACATTTTACACAGCTCGTATGGATTGGATCGCGAGAAATGGGGGTGGCTAAGGCAGCGAGTTCCTCTGGGGCACAATACGTAGTTGCCCGGTACTACCCGGCTGGTAATGTCTTAGGTGCGTTTCCAGCCAACGTCAAACCAAGAGGAGCTAAAGTAGACAAAAATGCGAAGCCTGCTGGAAATGATAAGTCACGTGGTGGTGGCAGTGCAGCACCGGCATCGAACAAACCACGTAAGTACGTGAATGCAAGGAGAAATGAAACTGAAAACTGATCATGATATTCATCAAACAAATAGTTAAAAATAATGAAAGGACTGATAAAAGAACAAACAAACAAAGAAACCGAAAAAAAAAAATCAAACAAACTAGAGAGGGAGAAAGAGGGAAAGTGAGAAAGAAAGTACAAAAGCAAGGAGAAATGAAAAGGGAGCGATGAAGATGAAAAAGGAAATACCTCATGTTCACACTGTCCATACATTTCTCGGGAGTATTCAAGGTGGATTAGGACAGTGCTCCTCCTTTTGGGAAAGTTTTGATTCAATACATATTCATATGACCTACAAAATTAAGACAAACACTGAGACAATTGAGCCGCCCCCAGCCAGCCACTTTCAAAATGTCTGGATCCACTCACTTTCTTCTGGCAAAATACCATCTTTAATAGTAATCCGTGGCGAGGTTTTTATTCAATGTGGTTTTCTGTCATAAAGTATCAAGTCTGATCATTTTTTATTACAGAAAGCTCTCGTGAGTTCAAGAATGACATCTTAAAAGCACACAACGAGTACCGGTCTCTTCACGGTGTAAAGTCCCTTAAGTGGAACTCGAAATTAGCGTCTGAGGCTCAAAGCTGGGCAGAAAATCTAGCACAACGGAATTGTATCCAACATAGCAGTGCCAGAGATTACGGAGAGAGTATTGCTTATATGAGTGGTGAGTATTCTTACATGACAAAAAGTGTTTTTTCCCCAAGTGGGGCGTTTTACCCTTTTGTACCAAAATACTTTTTTGGTAAACCTTAATCCTAGGCCCTCGCCTTAAATTATTTATTATTATGCGTACAGGGGCTCCATTAACTGGACGTAAAGCAACGGATATGTGGTACGAGGAAGTCGACAAATATCGGTTTAATAATCCCGGATTTTCTTCGGGTACGGGACATTTTACACAAGTTGTCTGGGCAAGCACGACGGAAATGGGTAGTGGGAAGGCTACTAGTTCAACTGGTGCTCAGTTTGTCGTCACACGTTATACTCCACCTGGAAACGTCGTGGGTCAGTTTCCTGACAATGTAAAGCCGAGGTCACCAGGAGGAACTAATGGAGGTAGGGAGAAGTACCAATTAAAAGTACGTCATTTTGTACAGCAAAGCATGATGGGTATTGTTGTCCTCGTAGCGTTTTCCCTTGTCCTCTAAAAAAGGTCCTCTTGTACTTTTTATTTGTGAATATAGAAGTAGTTGCACCGTTTCTACAAATAAAACATAAAAATGAGAGCGAGATTTTTAGTGAGATTTTTCAAAGGCTATAAAAATTCGGGCACTAAAATATAGTCCCATCATGCTTTGTTGTACAAAATGCACAAAAATAATTTACAGTTCTTATGTATCTGTAAGATAGAAGTCCTTCTAGCGGAATATGAACTACTGCTTACCATTAATGGTTTTTTTTGTTTATTTTACTCTTTCAGAAAAAAGTTGCTGTGTCATACTGTGATCCGAAGGACGGTTAATTTTGCTCTCAAACTCTCATCTCTCATCTCATTATTTTAGCTGGTTATTTGTACAAAATTATCTGGGAAATTGATTATATGAGACTATAACAGCAATTTTGTGGAAAAAAACCCTAAATCGATAAGCAAGGGACAACGAATCTAGTCAAGTCAATTAACCTTCAAAGGTTTTATTCATGGAGTAAAAGTAGTGAGAAGTTGAGCAAAAACGTAAGGCGACTTGTCACCATTCATGACAACAGAGTTTTTCTTTAAACTGTTTAGCGCACTGATTTGAATTCATTAAGTTTTGGATAATGTTCTTTATGATTTATTATAAATTGGACCAGCTGACAAAGACACTGAAAAGAGCCCGCCCAAWGAAAGTTGTGGGAACATCCATTGCAGACGTTCTATGTAGTTAGTCAAAGGAATGAATTTGTAAAAATGACAGTATATGTAATTCCTTGTTGTATTTATATTAATATAAGTCAATAAAGATGAATAAAGATTTATTTGACCTTGTATAGTACGGGATGGATGTGAATTCCCATTAGTGCTCGCACATTCATCCTCATGTGACGTTATRATAAATTTAAGAAGAAAAAAATAYAACAACAACAACAAAACAAAACAAAACAAAGATCTTTAAGGGTGGTGTGAAAACGAGYAGTGTCAAGATGTCAACGTTTTCTTTTTCAGTTTGACTTATTAGTCTATTAGATAAACATTGATACACTGTACAAGACATGGAAAACATAGAAGGTACCCCCCAATTCAAGACAACTGAAGGTCAATTCAAGACGCAAAGGCCAAAAGCCATACCCTATTTGGTGGACCGTCCACTGGGAAGGGTTGAACTTGAGAGATTATTTGCGCTTCAACGAAACTAGCATTGTCGTACGTATCCACTGGACAATAAATTTCTTTTTTTTACCTTTTCATTGTTAGAGCGGATTTCGTATGAGTGGGACACCGTTACCGCACGGTTACCGCACAGTTACCGGACCTGGCCTGCAAGATTTTGTGAAGCAATGAGWCACTAGAATTTGGTTACAGTACGATTACGGTCACAGTACAGTACCGTCCGTTTCCCACTCATACGAAATCCGCTCTACTTTCGGACGTGCTGTCTTTTTCTCCTGCAAACACTCGCTAGTCCCAGTCCCTTTCCCTGTGTGAGCCAGTTGACCAGCGGTATTACCCATGGTAATCAGTTGTTTCTTCCTTTTCACGTGCTGCCAGCAATCCAACATGGCGCACTACAACTTTAAAAAGATAACAGTCGTCCCTACATCGAAGGTAATACTTAACTACTGCTCAAAGTTAATCAAAATCGTCCTTATGAACTAATCTATCAATTTATGAAAACCAGGACTTCATTGACATCGTCCTTTCCAAGACACAACGGAAAACACCGACTGTTGTTCACAAGTAAGAAGTTCGAGATTTGTAAATAACCTCTTTATTAATATACTGTAAATCAGCTGATGTTGCTAAAAAGATATTTTTAGTCTATAATTGTATATTTTAAAGAATTCAAATGTGTAAATTTTTATAAGGAATGACTAGTTTCATTCATTAATGCCAATAATTATATACTTTTTCTTGAAGGGGTTATAAAATCAGCCGAATTCGTGGCTTTTACCTGAGGAAAATCAAGTATACACAACAGAACTACCATGACAAGCTATCACARATTATCACAGATTTCCCCAGACTTGAGGTATAGAGCATGTGATTTCAAATATTGCATGTCCAACCTGCTATCCTGGTCTGAATGAGGTTTATAGAGTATTGTTACAATAATTATATTTTCTTTATCTTCCAGGATGTCCATCCATTCTATGCCGATTTGATGAATGTATTGTATGATAGAGATCATTACAAGTTAGCACTCGGACAGATAAATACAGCAAGAAATCTAATTGACAAGTAAGGCACTATGAACCAGATAGTGAGTGTGAAATGATGTCTGCATGCTCCATGGTCTCCACAAGAAATATTAGAAAATTCTTTCCTTAATCATAAGGCATACCACATATCTGTACGTTTGAATTCACACATACATACTCATAGACATGTGTTGCTTCTTTGCCATTATGATTCTGGTATGAACGCGATAGATACTGAAATAAGGCCAACAAAGATTTCACCATTCTCTAATGTTATTATGTCACTGACAATAWTGTTCTTTAGTGAAAATTGGCTTTGTTGTATACTGTATCTTCTTCTTATAGTACATGTACAAGACTTTGAAATTATCAGTAGAATTGTTTATTTGTGGCTGTAATTATGTTCACTGACAAGTAATGTGAGTTTTTCTTATTTCAAAAGTGTTGCAAAAGATTATGTCAGATTAATGAAGTATGGGGATTCACAGTACAGATGCAAACAACTCAAAAGAGCTGCTCTGGGAAGGTATGTGTATAGCAAAACAACAGTTTTTGGTCCTTGAGACCAAAGTAATGCTTGTCCCTGGTCTCATACYTTGTTACTACCCTGAAGATTGAATGATAAACYTATGCTGATATATGTCTGATTCATTTAGAATGTGCACAATAATGAAAAGACAGAAGCAAAGCTTAGAATATTTAGAACAAGGTTAGTAATGAATATTGATGAACCTTATGAACACTTGCAAAGTTAATATCATGATAAATCATTTCCAAACTATTAATTAATGACAATTAGAAAAACAATTTGATCACACAAGCTGGCAACAAGACTAATTATATTGGCTTCACTAAGAATGAATGCATTTAATTCAGCAATRATATAAGATATAATAAGAAATTTATATGATTATGTTACAGTAAGACAACATTTATCAAGATTGCCGTCAATAGATCCCAACACAAGAACTCTCTTGGTTTGCGGGTAAAGTGAAAAGTGTTTTCCACTTACACAGTATRACCATAAAAAATTGTCAAATGTTAATATTTCTTTATTTTTTTATGTTTTAGTTTTCCTAATGTTGGAAAGTCAAGCTTTATGAACAAAGTGAGTTAATAATTATTGTTGTCCAGTCTTTGTAATGTCTGGACTTTTCTCTACAAGTCCTAATAGGCCTTGAGCACTGACTTACAAAGGAAATGTCCAGATGCAGTCCAACATACTGGCTCGGGAACTCCATTAGCACTAATCCTGTGTTAACTCTTAATAAATRCATATTGAGTTAACCTTGGATTAACGCTAATCAAAGTGTGAGCAACCCGGCCCTTGTGTACTGGCAGTTAAGTGGATGCCAGGTCTGACCAATATGTGATGTGTATTGACAGGTAACCAGGGCAGATGTCGAGGTGCARCCATATGCATTCACCACAAAATCTCTGTTTGTTGGTCACATGGATTACAAGTATTTGAGATGGCAGGTTAGTMCAYTATCACTAAAGTACTGCTTTGTAAGAYGCACTGTTTTATGATGTTGATAATATTGACAGGTCATGGACACACCTGGGATACTTGATCATTCTTTGGAAGAAAGAAATACTATTGAAATGCAGGTATAATAACTTTCTATAACTTTCAGTCACTTTATTTACAAATGAGATTAGCATCATGTAGAGTAATTTATCAACCATGTATATACATGTATTAACTTACAGGCCATCACAGCATTGGCTCACCTTCGAGCTGCAGTTCTCTACGTAGTCGACGTTTCTGAACAGTGTGGCCACACCCTTGAAGAACAAGTAGAGCTGTTTAACAACATTAAACCACTGTTTGCCAACAAGCCTTTGATTGTAGTTGTCAATAAAATTGACATTGTCAGACCTGAGGAACTCTCAGAGGAGAAACAAGAAACCTTAAAATCATTTGAGGGTGAAGGTGAAAAGGAATTTTCCAGCCTATGTATTTAAGGGACATGTATTTCTGGGTCATTTTCTGATGGGATAGCACTGGACTTAAAATAGAACTCCAACAATGATTTGTGGAAATGTTCAAAAACCGTGTTTTTTATGAGAGCATAGAAACACAGCTCTCAAGCGAAAAGTTATTGTTTTTCAGTTCGTGATTCCGCAAAAACATGATTTCTCATGTTCTCCTAACAATACCGCATGTTTATAACAGAATGAACACAGGGAAAATATCTTTTAATGCTTAATAAAGTGCTGTAATTATGTTATTAGCGACAACTATCATCCCAATGAGTACTTTAAGTGAAGAAGGCGTCATGAATGTCAAAAACGAGGCTTGTGAAAGACTTCTCGCACAGCGAGTCGAAGTGAAAATGAAGAGTAAGAAAGTAAACGATGTTATCAACAGACTTCATGTTGCCGTTCCAACACCTCGTGACAACAAGGCCAGACCACCATTCATTCCACAGGCTGTTTTGGACAAGAGAAATGCCATGCAAGTTGAAGGAGTCAAGAAGAAGAAGTTGGCAGTKGARCTGGAAAAAGAGTTGGCTGAGGAYTATTATCTTGATTTGCGTCAACACTGGGACTTGCATAAGGAGGAAGAAAAAGGAGATGTTATTCCCGAAATATTCCTTGGAAAGAATGTTGCGGACTACGTCGATCCTGATATCATGAAGGTACTTATAAAGCTTTTTTTGCAAATGTTGCGATTGTATTATAAGATTTTAGATTGCATGGCGTTGGCCATAACTTACGAAAACAAATCATTGCACTAGTTTGAGTGTATTAATCTTATTAATTTTTCATCACAGAAACTTGAAGAATTGGAGAGAGAGGAAGAACTCAGAGAGAAGGCTGGCGTTTACGAYTCAGATTCGGTAAGCTTCCGGAAAATTGTACTAGATGGAATAGAACCAAACGTTGTCTTTTAAACTCGGTAAATGATTGTAAATTTGTTGTTTCTAAAAGGAAGAAGAACTTGACTCTGAACAAGAAGAGATCAAAAACAAGGCAGCACAGTAAGTGAATAAGAAACGGGAGGGAAATCCTTTACAAAACAATACAGGGATTATCTTGGGAAACTTAAGAGAAAACACAGGGAATTCTTCCAGTTAATTTTAGATAAGCATTAATTTATCAAGTTCTCTATTCCATAAGTATCAACAAATGTAGCAATTATCAATTATGTTACCAAAGCTAGAGGTGCTTACGATTTTGACTATGACTAAGAGGGATTATGTAAAACCTTTCCGCGCTACAAAGATCGTGATTTTATTCTCGTTTTCTCCATAGGATTCGAGAGAAAAGAGCTCTTATCGTAAAAGAACACCGAGATRATAAAGGAACCACAAACAGACCTATTATTCCTCGAGTATCTTTAGCCAAGGTATGCAACCAAAAACTATTGAATGAATTTATTGGTTGATTTGTTAGACTATCTTGCGTAGTAATTGTTTGACTAGCTAATAGTATTGGCGAGTTGCAGTCTAATTTGTTGTTTGATTGATCGGCTAGCTAAATTTGATGATTGTTTATTGATTGCGAAAAGTCGGTTGACTCTTTCATTGTTTTCKTGATTGTTATTTTGAGTAACAAGTGAATGACCTTTRATTAACGTTTGTATTCCTTTTCCGTCGTTTTGTTTCCTTCCCTTTAACGAATTATGTCGATATGCACTGACAGGCCAAAGCAGCTCGATCAAGGCTAGAAGGTCGTCGAAAAGAAGTCGGGATGGATGATGAAGACATGGATGACATGGATGATGCAATGGAAGAGGTTAGACCACCAACATTAGTTGTAGGCTTTTTTGCTCATATTTTGAACTTAATAAAAATAAATAAAAGAGAGAGAGCGGAAAATGAATATGGTGCGCGCGTCACCAGCAGGACGCGAAAAAGGCGGGAAGATTTAATAGCCCCCAATCTCTATGTAGCCATTTTTCATAGCTCGTGTAGCGGTAATCATGCTATTGTCATTGATGATGCCAATGATTTCGATTATAGTTCACTGTGATGATGATATTGATATAATGATGATAACGTAGTTTTTGTCTTGTCAAGGACGATGATCCAATGTCTGGAGGCAGCAAACGATCTCGTTCCAAGACTCCTGCCAGTCGTAAACGAAGGAGGGAAGCTTCCAGTGTGGGTCGAAGTGCGTCACGCAGCGTGTCACGCCTTCCACGTGACCAATCTGGTCTATCGCATCCTGAGGTAAGAACTCCAAGCCTTTCTTATTATAATTCAGTGTATTTCAGACCACTTATTTGAAACGTCAGATTTTATATTAACATTTCTCMAACTCCATTAAAAACACCCTGATGTTTTGAGTGTATTTTTGTGCATTAGAAAAAGGCCAAAGCAAGGAAAATGGTGAAGACTTCACAGAGAAAGATGAATAGAATGGGCAAAGCTGGTAAGTTCTCGTACATACGACATACAGTCATTACATAAAATAAAATAACAGTAAAGAGACAAAGGAGTCGAACTAATACCAAAATGGTGACGTTGTGACGTTTTGTTTKTTTAGGTGAAGCTGACAGAATGATTCGTACCAAGATGCCCAAACACTTGTTCAGTGGGAAAAGAAAATCAGGCAAAACTGCAAGRCGATGATGTTTTATTTCATGTGATCTTAAACTATTCATTAAAGGGACTGACCTCAAAATGTTTTTGTTCTGCGTTGTCATTGAACTTCTGTCAACTGCTTTTTTTTTGCGAACCATATGTAACCGAGGGAGGGGAGRGAGGGGAGTATCACTCCAATAAAATGACAGGATTCCCGTGTTACGCCAAGAGCGACKGAGGGGCTGTGYGAAACACKCTGCTGTGAACTACACAMAGAAGCATTCASAAACCTCATATTTTCAGGCATTTTATTTCGAACAAACTGAAAAAAACTCGAAAATATTTTATTTACATGTTTTGGGATGGCCCAAACTTTGTATCTAATTTTTTTAACATAACTACAATATTTATAGATTACAGTAAACTACTGTACAAGGCCTTTTACGTTCGGAGTGAAATCAAGAAATGGACAAGCGCAAAGTTTTCTTTTATATGCATATCAGGTCGACACTGGTTCAATAAGGCTTCTGATTGGTTCGATTATTTACCTAACATTTATAATAAACCTACCGCTGTTGCACGTTATGKTCCGTTTTCATGGTTTCCACAATAGAAATCAAGAGCAAACGCAAGGAAAAGGACTTCGTCTAATATCTTGCCCTGGAGATTGCTTTATCACCACGAAATTAAAGGCCTCTTGCACTTACGCTTGCGTGGCAAGTTGAAATCATGTTTATGAGAACACCACTGCTCCGCTAGCAATTATTACTAGACGACAAATGGCGGTTTCACCAGATGTCACTAGAAACACTTCAACTAAGTTCTTTTGTAGTRAAATACATTAAATACTTTGGTATACTAGTCTATATRTGCACGAGCCTWCACTCGTGMACTCTGYATTCTAAATGACCACTCTACTAGAWCTACCGAGGTGTTTCTGCGAAGTATTTGATATAAATATGCAATTGCGTATAGTGCTCCAATATAAATATGTTTGGATGACCGTAACAATTCCACATACCATGTAAAAKTTGAGTRATAAGCAATGTSCAGCGTCGCCATTTTGTGTAGCAAAGCATGATGGTAGTACCTTTTCATGTTCGCTAAAAATATTTTTGCTTTTTCTAAGTCAAATAGATTTATTTCCATTTCTACAAAAGAAATCGTTAAAAAGGCTTTAAAGGCGACATTTAGGGTCTGTARTAAGKGTGAGGACTACAACTACMATCATGCTTTGCTGCACAAAATGGCGTCGCTGAACATTTCCTATTTCCAAAAGAAAYCAAAATATGAATAAGAACGATATCGCAAGTATTATGGTTTAGTAAGTAAAATGATGCAATCCTTGAAATGATCTGTTCACTAATCGTTTGCTGCGCTCTGGACATGACCATCATCTAATGAGATAATATTAATTTTAACTTATATGTTAATGTTAACTTATTTTGATTAATGATAGTACTCCAATGTTAACAAAATACATTATATTATAGTAACAAAAATATATAATATGCTATATTATTTTTAAGCTATACAATAGTGTAATTAAGCGTGGATTTCACTAGCGCATAAGCATAGCATAAGCACAGGCATGAGAATCATATGCGCCAGTGAGAACGGGCTCGACATAAACATAAGACATTGAGCATGCGCACAAGCGTATTATTTCGGTACCAGACTATGCTTATGCCTATGCAGTCCCGTTCTCACTGAGCATAAGCATGAGATAAGCATGAGATAAGCACAAGAAGATCAAGCCTTGCTCGTTTTTCTTGTGCTCATGCTTATGCTTATTTTGAGCCCGTTCTCACTGGCGCATATGACTCTCGAGCTTCGCGCTTATGCCTATGCTTATGGGCTAGTGAAATCCACGCTTTAGAGCGCACACACTTAATTCATAAAATAAATCTTGGTAATGCTAAATTGTGCAGTTTTACTATATCTTACGCCTTTAGAGTGCTTTCAGCAGAGTATTCGCACTTAAAACCGTGCAACTGTATAAAATCTAAGTAGTACTAGTTTGTACTAAAAGTGACCTGAATCAAGACGGTATTGAATGCTTCATTTGTATCAATTCAATTTAATTTGCGTACCGCATGCACGATTTACTAAATACAGCTAAATAGCACTATTTAGTTTGTACAGTTGTACAGTTTAAGTGCGATCACTCTAAAAGCGTGAAACACCAATTACTAAATTGTGCAAAATAGTGCTAGTGGAACAAAAGAAAACAAACGAATTAGCATAAAATAGTRCAAAATAGTATTACTAATGTTTCACGCTTTTACTAATTGCACTAGTGTTAGTACTCTACAGATTATTAGTGAAAAAAAACCGAGCTAACAAAATTGTATAAAGCAACATACTTGTACATGTTTGCTCTATCTTACTAAATTTCAAACGTCGACTGAATAGGTGTCAACTTTGTGTCCATTTGCATTTCGTCGCTTAGATTTGACCATTAGATTTCATTGCCCGTTAAGATTAAATATCTTCACTATGAAGTGAGGACATTAGAACCGTGAAACCAAATCTTTAATTCAAGGAAGAGACAAAAGAGCATAAAAGAAAATGCCATCTACTCTGACTCTGACTTTTCGTAGAAAAAGGAGTCAATTATTTTTCTGGATAGACAAACTATTCTACTGATTCCTTRTGCTATCTCGATATCTTTGCCTTACTTCTCAGTTTTTGTGAGAAAAGCCACGCTGGAAGTGTTACTTGTTCAAAAAGAGCGTTTCTTACTGTAGCAGTAAACTTGCTGAATAAGCAAAACGCTGTTGCAACTTCAAACCAAACATTATAGAAGATGACAACRCGAAAGTTACCAAGCCAGTCAATGCGACCAAACTCGCCCATCAGATCAAAGTTGGTTATACCTAAAACAACGAAGTAATCGTGATGAAATGATTAATCGTACAACGTAAACTTACAGACGTGTGCGTTGGTTTAGAAAGGATGGAAGAAAGTAAAGAAAGAAAGAAAGAAAGGAAAGGAAGGACAAAAGGAAAGAATGAGGGAAAAAAGGAGAAGGGACGGAAAGCCGAGTTTTTCCGTTGAGTCTAATTCATAAAACTAAGATCGAAACCTAAGACAAATTATATTTGAAACAGTGTACAAGCAACAAAAAACAAAATGCGCGTATACAAGAATGTATAGGCTCCTGATTCCCGTGTAATAGCTCTAGGGTAGGAGGGGAGAAACTTCGCTTCATGAGATAACGAACACTACTTCAGTTCATTGTGAGCGTTATTATGACCGCTTCCATTTCAAATTTGTTTTGCTACAATGTTTGGTACTTACCCAAAGTTCTAGACAAGAGAGGCAACGCTGAGCTCAGTATTAGCAGGACAACACAATTCGTTATAACCTATGTACAGTTAGGAAATATATATTAATTCAGTGTTAACTCCATATAAAAGATAAAGAGTTATCGCAGGATTAGAGCTCATCGAGCTTTAAACACAGCCATGATTGACTGGTGTACGGCCCGGTTTCTTATGACTTGCCCGGTTTGCCGTACTATTAACTATTAATTTACCTTTGTCATTGGAGTGTCTCTTGGTAAAGGCCTAAGTCTAACAAAACATGGAACACTGTATAGCCCAACCAATGAAGCTATCATCAGATAACTAATGAGATTTCGTTAAGAATATTTTTAAACAAACTTGGAATGACAAATTTTAGAAACGTAATCCCGTATAAAGAGCCCGCCTAACTTCCGGTGCGCGCGCGTCCAGATATTTTGCGTTTTCCCGCCTTTTGGTGACCTTGCAATAGTTTACTAAGCTTCTTTTCCTCTGTACCTTATAGGTATAAACATTCATTTTAAGCATAAAAGTAGTTGGCGCGGTTTGAGAAAAACGGCCGTAGTCTCTAGCAACTTGGACCCAAATACATAAACGATAAAATTAAGGTTATTTACAAAAAAATGGATACAATATGAGGACGATTTCGAATAAAGCACCAAATGTTCCCATCATTGACGATGATACTTGTCCCAAAACCAGCACCTAAAAACAAAAATTTGAGTTTCACTTTAAAGAGAACAAAAGTCTGCAAGATGTTAAGATTGCTAAAATACGCAAGTTACATTGTTCTCTATTGTTTGGTTAGCAGTATTACCACTAAATGTTTACTTACAGTTGCTCGGCGAGGTAAGGAGCGATTAACAAACAAAACAGCAAAAAAGTTCAAAGCAACCATCGCCATGAGACTCGTCTACAAAAAAAATAAAATAAAACCAATGGAAATCGTTTCTGTTTAGCTCTTTTATAACCTTATGAAGTCCGAGTCACAGTGCCCTTTTGTTGCAAGCAGCAATGTACTTAAGTTACTACATTTGACATCAAAATGGTTTTCAAGGGCAAACTGGGAAACCATGTCCCGAAAGATGTAAAGCCATTGAGAGACCAAGTAGTTAGCCGAAAAATTGCACGCAACGTGTTCACAAACAACTCTTTGACAAAATGCTACGGAAAAGAGAAATAGCATCAGTGCCATTATTATTTTTTGCAAACCATTTAACGGCGCAATTTGCAAGCTACACTAAAGATTGACTAGTGTGACAAGGTCCTTTCCATACAATGAGCGACGTACATGTTTTAACAATACTTACAGTGAGAACTAAGAGTACCAGCAATAAGATGGGATATGAACAGTTTCTTTGTAAYGATGATGTTTTTGCACGATTTTCTAGAAGGCAAGGTCACAACTCATCACAGCCATATTACACACATAACAAAATTAAAGCAGTTCTATTATAATACCTAATTCCCTTCGCTCTGACTCTAATAATTTCAACCTGTCATAGTTTTCATGGTCTTCTGTCCTGCCGTTGCAAACAGCCATTCCATTCTTGAAACCTAAAAAAATACCCAAATAAATAAAAATCGCAACTGACATGAAAGGTTCATTATTAGTGTAGCAAAACGCCAAGTAAGTGTTCAATAAAAGTTTATATTTTTGAAAAGATGCATTTTACCATTAAGCTTTCTCTTTAGACTAGCTTCTTCCATTTTGATTGCATTRATATCATCTTCAAGATTCCTCATAAACTGGAGAAGCAAATAAATCACGACCCATGTTATCATGGCAACTTAATTTTAATAACGTTGATCTTGCTTGGCATCATTAAACRTCACTAGATGAATTTTAAAGCCATCTTTGTAAAAAGTATTACAATTGTTGAAAATTAGGTTAAGTATTTCTTAGGACGAACAATGTCATTATCAAAACTTGAGCTATTAAATATAAGACACCACATTACAGGTGCGTAGCATTAACTTTTTGGCCAATACGCACATGTCAGGGACCGCAACACATATTTTGGAGCAGGGGGTCTAACGACTGCCAAAGGTGGGAGTATTAAGGGAGTATGGACCTCCCCAGGAAATTTTGAAATAATAAGTCTAGGAAATGCGATTTCTAGCGTTTTGAGAGACATTGAGGGCATATAAAAGGGATCAATCTTATGTGAATTTTTCAGTAATGTTTTGTGAAAATTTTAATATTTCCTTGCCACTAGTACGCGCGTGTGTATGCTTAAAGGATGCTATGCGCCTGCATTATATTCCAAAAAATCTCTAAAAAAAGTCAGAAAACTCAAATATAATATTGGTTGATGTACTCACTTGTGGCTTRACAACACACTGACCAAGAACTGTGAACATCCTTGCAAAACCCACAGGTGTACAAACTGAAATGATATTTCAAAAGATACATTAAATTATCATTTGCTGATCAATTTAATTACAGTCAACTGTAACAATTTATGATAAACTTACTCAATAACATTAGACCACCAAGGAGTGAGATGCAAGAATAAATAAAAGGTAAACCAGGGATCCATGCTGTTGCTGTACATGATTGAAACAAATAATCAATCAAATTAATTATCAATTAATCATTAATGATTAAATGTTTGAATTTACTGACATGACATGAAACAAAAAAGTATGTTATTAAATTAAATGTATGTTGAATGACATCCAACCATAAAGCCAGATACGAGGAGACTACACCAAAAAGGATAATTAGGTGATAAAAAATGCAATTGAACTATACTTACCATTTTCATCTGAGATTTGGACAAAGGTCCAACCTTTATCTAATAAAGCTGATACAACCCATACAATACTACTAACAAGAACAGCCAGAAGACATAACACTACTGAAGTTTCATAAACTTTGGCCATAATCCCCTAAAATGAACAAAAGACAAGTACCATGAAGACAAGGCATCAACAACTTCTTTCTGTTGTAATTTTAAAATGTGACTACAAGCCCTCCTTTTCATCAAGCACAAAACTGCAAAACACATTTTGGATAAAAAAAGAAGCTCCTCTATTAAATGAAAAGTTGTTAATCATTTCAACTGACCACCATGGATTTTAATTAGTTTCTTGTCTAGTACCTTTCTTGAGCCAGAAAACCCTTCCGATTCAGTAAAAAAATAAGCAAAGGGCATTGACACAAAAAGTGATATGTAGGATCCAAGAAATATTTGATTCCAAAGACCTGTGGCAAAAAAGAAGCAATAATTTGTCAGACTATCACAATCTCATTTAGCAATCACTAAGTGAAGGGGATGGGTTCATGACTACTGTACAATAATTACAAAAAGAAGTAGCTGCAATTATATTAAAAAGTTTAGATTATCAACTGCTTATAAAACGATACTATGTATGAACTTACCATGTATCAAGGAGCCATTAAGCCATTTCATGTAGTAACTTTTAGGATATACAAGGAGAATTTCATTACTTAGAATGGACATTGGCAACAGTAAAACTGCACCCAGTGACACAGATAAGGTGAATGTGCATAGCCATAATCTGAAACATATTCAAATAATAATTATTATTAACATTGTACAATATCAATGCAAATATTTGTTATTTATTAGGACTTCTGATAATTTGGCCAGCTCCACAGGAAACCCTTAGGTTTGGACCGTGCTATTGTTTTGTTTTTTTGTTTTTATCAAAGCCAGAGAAGAGGAGTCATGAAACAAGATGTCATCACTCTTTCTTCATTTATCTCTTCCCCACAGTTTTTGTGAAAGAGGTAAAGGGGTAAATTAACTGACTGTTGTAAGTCCTTTATACTTACGATATTCTGTATACTGAGGCATCTTCCCCACCTATATTGCATACAAGTTAAAGTTAAATCATTATAATAATTTACAGAGATAACAGCTGTTATGGTCAAGAAAACTGTAATGAACAGCTATTTCATGGTTGATAACAAAGCTTTACACTTGCTGGTCATTTAATATAAAAATATTTCTGCACACTGTTAATTTTAATTAAAAAATTGCTTTAAAAAGATTATCTATCAAGAGAAAATATATTGCAGGTATTGAAATAACCCAAGGAGATTATCRTGTATTTGAATTAAAACTGTTTAATATTTCAAATACCATACACTGTGTTTGTAAGCATACCTGGATCAAATTCATCTTTTTTCTGGTGGAATCGGCAGATAATAAAGTATGATATTGTATTCAGGATAATAAATATAAGAAATGATATCTGAAAGCAAAATAATATATTGATTTAATGTGTAATTCTTTCTGTTCATTTTATTTAATAATTTATTAAACAAATTTCCTGTGGGAAAAATGAAATCTTTCATATTGATAAAGACCAGCTGTCGGCTGTAAGTTTGAGATTTTAGTTGTTAACTTATATTGGTGAGCTTCAACTCTGGGATGATTATTTAAGCAATAAACGATAGCTTGAAGCATTTCACTGGCGAAATAAACCGCAAGGGATGGTTGGGAGAACACAAGAAAAGATCAGTAAATCATGTGCCGAGTGTTTTTGACATCACCTTCATCCAAAAAATCATAGTAAGTTGATTTTCAAACTTTTCATACCATAATTGTGAGTGCAAATGTGTTTGATTCCAAAACCATTCTTCAATCAATAGAAAAGATTAATGTTCGATACAGATAAATGCTTGACTGGCGATGACTACGCCAGGTATCACTGTACATCAACATGTATATAATTTCTTATAATATTTCAGTACTGGTTAACTGACTATATATTCAGACAAATGTTTGTCAAACATTGCCCACATATATATCCTCCTGTGTCTTTAATCCCTAAATTTCTTAACTTGATTATCATTTAATCATATGTATGTTTGTATTATTCATGTAAATTAGTTTGSCTGTTTTTCTGTTTTGCTTGATTTAATGTATTGTTCACCATTTGAAAGTACTTTTTGTACACTTTACAAATACGCATTTCCAAACCTCTTGGGTTGTTATTATGTTTATGAAAGGCAAGCACTCGTCGAAAACCATATAAATTATGCGTGTAAACAAWGTTTGGGYTCACAAAGTCAAAGTGTAAATAAAGTTACATCACAAACAGATATAAACACACACAAAACTTAAATACGCAAACGACTGAATACCTATTTAAAATCATAAATTCTTGCRAATATAATTGAAACACTCATTAGTTACTGACAACCTTTTTAACAAAAACTAATAATAGGCTAAAGCCAGACATAAAATGTGCGATAAGCCATTAACCCCACTTTGGATTTTTACTTCACGAACTCATGGCAACATCATGTTTTCATGGAATTTACATAAGAAATACCATCAAATGTTCCCCCAMTGATATTTACGTCTATCATTCATTACATCCATACATGATACTTACAACATATTCTCGTACAGTATCGTAAAATATTTGTTCAGCAAGTGTCGTTTCGTCCATGTTTCTTCTTCATGTTATTTCTCTTGCGCAATTATAGTTTGGGAAGCAAAGCACTTGATGAGACATCACCCTACACCTTTCAACACTTTCCAGGATAGATAACTGTACGTTCTTTAAAGTCAATGTGAAGAGATCTCTTCTTGATTTCTTGTAACGAAAACCGCTAACAGTCAACACCACAAAAGTTCCGCTACAAAACTGAAGGATTTCAAAACCACAATTTCTCYCTCCGTCTGAAACAATTGAAGATTGACGGTCGCAACAATTACACTCCAAAAGCACTTCTATACAACGGTAGAAGTAGAAACTTGTAAAGGCGAGGAATAATTCGAAATGAACAGTTCAAAGATCAGTATTTTATGTCTTTTATCTCGTGTTTCTAAGCTCAGACTCGTGACACCTCTCGAAGAAAAATCACCAGTAACGCTTTGTTTTTACACCAGTCTTCTTTGGACTTAAATGTAGGACAGGAAGCCCAAGCATTCACCTTGCAAAATAACCGGCAATATTCTAAAATCGATGCATGTAAGTACTCTGAGGACTGAATAAACAAAATATTTTATGAATGTTGGCATTTTTTTTGCTAATTCTTTTATGGATGCAAAGAAAAACAAGAAAAACCAAGATACGTCCTTTTTTAGTCTTTTTCATCCTAGCACAGGTAACCCAAGACTCTACTCAATGATTTATCCAAAATGGCGGCAGCTCTGCGCCGTTTRCGATTTACCGGGGTTTTCGTGGCATACTTTGAAAGGTTGAGTAATTTCAAATTATCGGTGTTTCCTAGAAAGAAGTTTTTAAGTAGTTACCKTCTTAGATATTCTCTAGGAAAGTGTCTAGCATCAGAAAATGCGTATTTTGCAAATGTACCGTTTGCAACTCACTCAAGTGGTTGCATAAGCACCTCCAACCAAATTGACAATTGTACTTCTACATCTAGAAGGTAGGTATTGCCTTGCTTATTTAGCTTATAATACCAGCTGAGCAATGTTCCTAAAACGTAAATAGAATTTATACATCGTGGRAAAAAATATATTTACGTTGAATCGTACAATTGTACTTTCTAAGCTTAATAAGCTCAAGCCTTCACTACCATCTTTGACTTCTTACGATTGATGACAGATTTTCAAGATTTCCATACAATACACGAATGTTGTTGTTTTTTGCCTACAAAGTCGTGTTTACAGTTTAGCATTTGAAAATAAAACTGTTCAAATGAAGTTCGTGAACTGCACGTGTGAATTTCATTTGTCTCCACCCCCTAACAATCGAATTGATGATACTAGTGCATATCATGCCCCGGCATAAGGCCTCACCAAGGGCAGTGAGTCTCAAGGTGTCACTGTAGACATGACAGAATTGTATTATACCATTTTTACACAGCAGAATGTTTTAGGGGATAGTTCTTTCTGTTCGCACTTGAGACCAGTTCCAGATTTCTTGTGTGAACAGGAAATCYATACATAAATTTGAACAGTTCCAAACAGTTCTTGCGGCATAGCAATTTTATAGAAAGATAAGGATGCTGGGATATGTAGGGGTTTTGAGTAGTCTTTGTGTGTTTATTTATAATCCATGTCRTATTTTCTCTAAAAGGCTATCATCTAGCTCAAGTTTTAATAATACAAATGAAGACAGAATCACGAAATCCAACTATACAGATGTATGGATACAAGGTTATTTATCAAATTTATGTACAGATATAAAAAAGGTAAGACTGTGGGCACTGAAAATTGAAGGAGCTTTTAAGTTACTTATTTTCAACCGATAGTCTCCTTCACAACTCTCTATGCCATGCCCCTGCATAGAAGGGAGACAAGTGTTTCACAGTGTGCAATGATAGACCTACATGCTCCTGTGACTTTGACAGCTCTATATCATCAACTGAAAACAATCAGTTTAGAATTGTCATTTTGCCATCCCACTTACATGTATGTTGAATCCAAATCAACAAATGAATTTTTGGACTTGGAATACAGTAAACAGTACCACAGTATTCAGTGCTCAAAGGTTTATGCAATAGGTGTATTTAGTTTGTCTAATAAACTTTTGCTTATCAAACTGCTTTCAGGAGCTCAACACACAAATATTACCATTAAGAGAAGTTTCACATTATTATTTTGATGACCAAGGAAAATATATCCGTCCTATGATAGTTTTACTGATGGCTTCAGCATGTAATATCCAYACAAGTAGTTCTAGGTATGTGAAGTTCTTGAAATGATATACATGCAAAGATGGASTCCCTGTGTTATTCTAGTTTAGTCCACAAAGGCGTTTTCACTAGGGTGAACCAAGTGCTTAGGTTATATAATGAGTGTTCTTAATCCCCCCTTGAAACATCATGCATTAGCCAAATGATAATTATTTGAAGATTTAATTTTTTTCAGAAAAATCTCTAATTTTTACATTTGCATATAATAAAAGCACGTCCTTTGTTAGGCAATTGTAGTTTGTGCTCATTTTTAAAACTCCCAATCATTTCTCATTTGTTTTATAGATTTATTATTTACAATTGCTGTTTTAACCTTTCAACCTCAGTCAGTCTGGTTTATATGTCAGTGTTAACATCTTTCAATTTCCTTAGATCTGTACTTTCTCCACAAGAAACTGTAGCAATGATAAGTGAAATGATCCATACAGCAAGCTTAATACATGATGATGTCATTGATGGTGCCGAGACTAGGCGTGGCAAAGTTTCTGTTAAYGTAGCATTTGGTGATAAGTACTGTATTCTGGCTGGTGATTATATCTTATCCTCTGCATCACAAGCTTTAGCAAAACTAGGRAATCCTGATGTAGTTAAATTACTTGCAGAAGTAGTGGAAGATCTAGTAAGAGGTTTGTATTACATTATTAAGTGGTTGAACAAATTTCATTCTGTTTCCTTTTCTGACCAAGACCCTCCTCAGTTTCMTAGTGRAAAATATGAGTCYCWGGTTGGAGACAAACCAGAAGTCCCAGAACTTGGGTTGTATGATATAATGTATGCTGATGACACATGGGAATTTTTKGATGTTWTKTCAGTTAATATTTYRTGAATRTATTATTYACAGGTGAATTTATGCAGTTAGGATCAAAAGAAGATCCTGATGAAAGATTTTCTCATTATTTAAAGAAGACATATAAAAAGACTGCCAGCCTAATAGCTTGTTGTTGTAAAGCGGTAAGTAACTGGAATTTTCTGTCCATACAGACAGTGTCTGGTTTTCAAAATAATATTTTGTATTGAGACCTTGTAATATTTTAATATTTTAATATATACACTTTAAAAAGTGTGACTAAATTGAAATTGTGATCACTTTTACTAAATTCAAAATCATCAACAAATTACACTCCAGTCTTTAACTTGAATGGTTTTTGACTGGGGTTTTGAGTGGGAAAGTTATGATCTGATTGGACTAATTATGATACCAGTTATATCACAGTCGGGATATATCAAATGTCTGATTGGTCAGGTTTACTTGCCTCAGTTTTGTGAGGTTCACTTTAAGAGACACACTTGTTTCTGTTACAGGTTGCAGTGTTTGCTGGTTGTTCACCTGATGTRCAAGATGTGGCATATCAATATGGACGAAACATTGGGATGGTTTTTCAGGTGAAGTAGATATTGTTGTTGTAATGTTATGTGTTGATTGTTTCACTAAGTACGAACCATCACTAAATACATGAAACATGAGCAGAACCGTTGTTATAGTGAGTGTCCATAATTGTAGTGAGAAATGTCTTCAGTCATTTCAAAAAGAGAAAGGCCCTTAGTGAGTAAACAAGAGTGCTAAATATTTGCTAGAGGGTAATCAGCCTTCCAGGATCTGCCATATAAGCAGCCTACTGTACTATGTTAGTTTTCAATTGAAATTTGAGGATAACATGCAAGAATACTTATTATAATTCCCATTCATGTTGCAATAGTTCTATATGGTTAAAACATAACTTTACTCTCTTTGATAACTAATATCCCACATGTAGCAATATTCTTAGCATGATATTGTTTCTTTCTACAGCTAGTGGATGATGTCCTAGATTTYGTTGCAAGTGATGCAGAAATGGGGAAGCCAACAGCAGCTGATTTAAAACTTGGYTTGGCCACTGCACCAGTATTGTTTGCATGTGAAAAGGTTGGTTTTGAAGACTTYTTTTGATAATACMCTATGTCATTTGCTATTGAACGATTTACAATGAACGTTTTACGCATAATTCAGCCAGATGAGTTTGGCAGTCAAGTCCATAACATGCATCCATTATTTTCAAGAATTATTCATCACTCCATAAATTCATTTAGTTATAGAGTTTTSTACTGAATGTAATATCATTTAAGAGAAGGAATGTCTTCAGTCCTCCTGGTACCACCCACTGCTGTCAATCATATGATAGAAATTGTATGAATTATTTGATTCTATTTTTACATGCAACTTTTTTCTATTGCAGTCACCTGAACTTAATGCAATGATAATGCGTAGATTCAAAGAGCCAGGAGATGTTGAGTTTGCTAGAAATGCAGTATATAAGGTACAAATGTGGAATATCCATTTTATATCATTTTTTTCTGAAATCRRTGTATATTTGCTGTAATATATTTATACTGTCTTATTCTTTCAGAGTGACAGTATATCAAGGACATATGACCTTGCAAGAGAGTATTCAAAAGAAGCCATAAGACAGATAAATACCCTGACGCCATCACCAGAACGCCAGGCCCTTATTGATATCACCAACAAAGTTATCAACAGACGGAAATAGTTATTATTAATAATAATTATTATTATTGTTCCGGGACATTCAAAAATGGATGTCTTTAAATCTGGTTTTCAATGGAGAAAAGAAACACCGTAAACTGACACGTGTTCATTCAGGCTCCAGAGGGATAGGAGCAAAAGTTGATCCATCTCTTGTTATCAATGTTCTGCATCAGTTTATGTCTCTATATGCTGCGTGCAGAGGAGTGTAGAAAAGGGGTGGAAAAGTGCTGTACTTGCAGGGTAATGTCTCTGTGTTATGCCCATGTRTCTGCTTCTATAGATTCCTGKCAGCATTGTTGGATGGATTTTTAATATCAAGGGAAATGTTAAAAAGTATTTGATTTAAAAAGATGTAAATATATCATGAAGAAAGACTATAATTTAGGTCTATTTTTCAATTCTATTTAATTGAGAACACTTTTTCTGGTGGTATATTATGCTAGTCTTGATATATATTCTATTGAGCAAAGGAATTTTCTAATCATTACCATCCAAGACATTGTCTTTTTAAATACTTTGACGATTTTCAATCCAAATTTTAATTATTATTATTTTGAATTGACATAAAAAGTGATCTCCCAAAAGAATAAATTGGTGTTTTTATAATAAAATGATAACTAAATTTTTCATGACTAAAAGGTGATCCGGCAACCCAGTCTTGTCTTCTTTCTCTTAATCATGTTTTCATTCATCTATTCAGTCTTTATCCATTTAGTCCCATTCATTCATCCATATCCATGAAATTGTTCATTCACAAGTCCATCCATTCAAGTATCCATTATTCATTCTGTTTTCCCATCCATCTACGTGTCTTGTAAATTCAGCCACTGAATGGACATGGCTTGTTAACAGGTCGGCTGTATTAACCTGTAACCGTTGGTCGCATTTTCCATAAGGCGGGGTTCCACTGCTTCATAGTATAGTCCAGAGCGATTCCACAAAGAGCTGGTTTGACATAAGTCATTTTGCTGTTCACATTTCTATGTCTATTTGAGTGTTCAGAACTCCAGATGAGTGGGTTCCCTGTGCGATGCATCCCGCTCGGCCCAGTCCACTGGAATGGGAAGGCATGTTCCTTTCAGGTGGTTTGACACGTGGAAGAAGGTGTCTGACGTGTTTTTCTATTTTACCCAAAATTAATACAGCACCCGTGAACTCTGTGCTGTTAAAATTTTCGCGARGTATGGCCAAAATCATCGAGTGTGTTCCAAACTTTTCGGAGGGACGAARTAAASAAGTCATTGATGCGATTTCTGCAGCTATAAGTTCTACTCCCGGAGTCAGCTTGCTYGATGTTGATCCAGGGTCGTCTACAAACAGAACTGTTTACACGTTTGTTGGCTCTCCTGACGATGTGGTGGATGGTGCATTGAATGCTGCCAAAACAGCWGCTCAATACATTGACATGTCAAAGCACAAAGGTAAAAGCACTGAACTATGGGCTACGATAGGTCAAATAGTCAGTGGTACATTTCGTGTGCACAAAAGTTACCTTTTTGACAAAAAGTGTTGATGTTTGTTTTGCTGATGTTGTAATGATCATTTGCAACAATTCAATGTTTATAAAAGCATTTATAGTGATGACTACCGGTGATTTTACTTGAAGTTAGTTTRTTTTCACAGTTTGGACAACATGCTTCCCTCATTATGCATTTAACGCAACAAAGTCACATTTTATTCATAAAAAGATTTGAAATGATAAAATGAACATCTCGCTATTTTTTATTTGATATTGGCTATTTTCACATTAATTCTAGATCATAAAAGCGTGGATATCTGTTTTTGGGTTTTACTAGTATTGGTATTTTAATYTTAAGAAAATTGAAACTAGTATCACTTTGTGTCACATGTTTGGCCCCACCCAAACAATTTTGTATAGTATAGAGTATATACACCTGACCATGAAATAAAATCTACTTTTTACATGTACTAATAGAAAGTTTTAATTTAGTGACAAATAGCCATTATTGCTGAATCAAAGCACTTGATATGTCACAAAGAGCAATACTTGGGAGACCAACAATCTTTCACAATGCTTCTGTAACCCTGAAGACTGTAAATGCAAATATCATTTAGAGTCTGAAAGAAGTGAGACACCAGTGCATGATAGTGAAACATTAGCATTGAAACTAAACCATATCAAAACCAGAGAACTGTTAGCAACTTGAAGACTAGAAAACTTTGCAATGGAAGGTGCATGATAATGACTAGATTAACAAACTTTGTACATTTGGTCTCTTGTGTATTTCTCTTTCTACCATTTGTCTACTAGGTAATGCCTATTTTTAGCAAATATTTTGATTTTATGTCACGGTTCGAATGTGCTTGCTGTTAATTGTTTATGTTCTATTTTTAGGAGAGCACCCAAGGCTTGGAGCACTTGACGTCTGTCCATTTATACCAGTTAGAAATGCTACAATGGAGGATTGTGTCCAGTGTGCAAATAATTTTGCTAAAAAGGCATCAGAAGAAATGGGAATATCTGGTAATTTACAATTATCATGGGGTATTATGGTTGTTAGATTGAATAAATGGATTGTTTTTGTCATTTTACTTAGTTTATCTGTATGGTTATGCATCTCAGCAAGATTACAGAAAAACTGTTCCACAAATCAGATCTGGCGAATATGAGGCTCTTGCTAAAAGGGTAAATCTATTGAGTGTTTCTCTCAAGACATTTTGATTATTTTCTAGCAAGAAACTAACTTTACTGGACACAACTACAGTTTGAATAATGATCGGCAGTACATTCAAAGCATTCTATCCGATGAGCAGAAGGAAAGGAAATGATGTTCTTTTCATTCTGGATGATAAATAGGATTTCTCCCTTGTTAATATTCATATTATATTATTTGGTAATAATACCTAATTGTTATTATTGATTTTTTCACCATTATTTCGCTGATGACTGTAGATAATCACTCCAGAATGGCAACCAGATTATGGTCCTGCAGAGTTCAATCCCAAGTGGGGTGCTACTATTGCGGGGGCTAGAAAGTTCTTGATAGCCTATAACATTAATGTACTTGGTACCAAAGAACAGGCGCATAGGATTGCTTTGAACCTTAGAGAGGCAGGTAGAGGTCCTGATAAGGTAAGCAAGTACGCAAGTGTGAAGGGTGGGGTTCCAGGGGTTCTGGGGGTTCCTCCCTTCTTCTTTAGCATTGAAGTCTTTGAAATATGAGACTTAAGTTGTCAAATCAGGAGGATAACATGTTTTSGTATAGTCCAACATTTGCAAAAGGCAGGTATGAAATCCAAAACAATCACCTTCACAGTCTTAAAATCGCTGAAACAAAGCTAGAGCSCCACTCATAAAATCCCTGCACATGGCCATAAAGACTAGAGTTTTATTGTAGTTGTTTTGTTGTTTCTTTCTGTTGTGTTTGTGTGTTGTTGTTGTTTTTTTTATATTATTATTGTCAAGCCATCTTTTTTTCTTATTGTTTCTATCAGCCAGGACGACTACATAACGTACAGGGAATGGGCTGGTGGCTTGAAGAAGAAAACATGGCYCAGATTTCTCTCAACTTATTGGATCATGAAGTCACCCCTATGCATATTGCTTATGAAGAAGCTGTCAAGGATGCAAAGGTACAAACTCTGGCTATTCTTCCCTTGTCTATCAACAGCTAAAGTTTATCCAGTTAATATTTAGTAAACTTGCTTGAAGAATCTCTTTCTGTTGAATTTAGAACAACAAAATTTCCTAAAACAAAGGGCCCTACTTTCAGTTTTGTAGCTCTGCAGAATAACTTGCTTGCTTGATAGAGATTAAATACAAAAATCTTTTTTAACAGTCTTTAAGGAACTTCAGTCATAAAGTGTACTTTGTTTTATAGGAAATGAAAGTTGGAGTATGTGGTTCACAAGTTGTAGGCCTGGTTCCATTGGAWGCCATGCTGAAGGCAGCTGATTATTACATTGAAAAAGACAGTCTTTTTATCATGGAAGAAGACCAGAARATCAGACTAGTAAGCTAAATATTACATGTAAATACTCATTTCCACAAAGTTTTCTTATTAAGTCTCTTTGTGTTTTAGGCCATTGAAAGAATGGGTTTAAGCTCAATAGGACATTTTGACCCAAAAACAAGAATTATAGAGTAAGTTTTGTTTTTTTCCTGTGTTTTAATTGTCAGAGTATGGCATGGCCATCTATTGATTGCGACAGGACTTGTTGGTTGATTTCCAGAGAAGGTTCTCTGATATGCAAGAAATTTACTCTCTCTTCATGTTTTCTTGCATGATAAGGACATGTAATTCCAGAGATGCTATCTCTCGGCACCCTTGATAAAAGCATTAAAAGAGAGGATATTGTACATAGAAAACTGCATTTTACCTGTTTACAGAGTGTAATGGCCGTATAAATTTGAATTATTTGTATTAAACATCCTATGTTACTAACATCTTCCAACTTGAGAAAAAGAAAGATCCCCCTGGGAATCAACTGAAAATTGTACCAATCAGAACATTCATTTCAAGAACTGTGTCCTCATTAGTAAATGCAAAGGAATGATGATSAAAAAGGCCGAGTTTTAATACCATTTAATACATTGGTATAATGGAATCATGACCTTGAAGCGAAACTGACCTTTGCAACAGCTATCCCAAAATAATTTATGTGCTTTTTTTTTTATTTTTTTTAATCTTTGTAAGAATTATTCTTTGTAATAATTAGGTATATGGTAGGAAAATCAGAGGGCCCACTGGTTTCCATGTCATTAAAGAACTTTATCTTGACTATTGGAGCACGGACCTCAGCACCAGGAGGAGGTTCTGCCGCTGCTGCAATTGGAGCCATTGTAAGTCTTATTTCATGATAACATGAACCATTGCACTGAATGAGAGGAAAGGGAAAAGTGAATCCCCTTGCAACTTTTATGACTTGTTGTTTGGGCAAATTTAGATCAAATCATGAAGTTGAAAGCTAATCCTGTATAAAGCAGAAACTTAGGGCCTAGCTTAGGAATCTCAATATCTATATTAGCTTCAAAGGTTAAAAATGAAGGTGCTTAAATTGTTTGATTCTATTTCATTGCTTATCAGGGCTCAGGTCTTGGGACAATGGTAGGTTTGATGTCATATGGTAACAAAAAGTTTGAACGTTTGGACCCACTTATGAGAACATTGATACCACCGTTGCGACAAACTATGTTAGAGTTGATTGACATGGTTGACAAGGACACGTCTGCTTTTAATGACTACATGGTGAGTAATAGTGAACAGATCCACTGACAATC